TAATTGATTAATTGTGGCTGCGCCACCAATCAATTAATTGAGTTCAAAATAATTGCAATTAATTGCCCCTACAATCAATTATTCGGTAGGCCTGTATAGCACCCCAGTTGACCTTCCCTCCGGTGAAAATTAGCAATACTTTTAATTTATTATTAAATCAATATTACTATATAAACATAGCAGGTTTTGATTTCAAAATAATTAATTTATAAGTATTTTAAAAAAATTTTTGATCTGCAGGAGGGTATGAATAATAAATTGGGGTATAAAAACTAATTCCTATTTTTTGTTATTATATGAATTACACGAGGCAAATTACCAGCTTAACAAAAATTTAGAATAACCAGATTTATTCTGAAATTATGTTTAATGTATATAAAGGACTATTAATTTTAACAATATAAAAAAATATATAAATATAGACAGTATTTTCAAATTATTGCAATATGTTATTATTATGTCAAGGCCCTGAATCCCATAAAAGAAATAGCATTACAAGAAAACAAAATATAATACAAAGTAACAAACAAAAGGAATGCAAAAAATAAATACAAGAAGATGCATTGATTTACATGGTGTATTAAATCTGGTCTAAAAGGCCAGAATATGCTATTAAAATTTGTAAATTTAGTTAATAATTGAATTGGTTAATTTTAGATAAAAATATTTTAGATCACTAATATAGATAACATTATGCCTCGTGAATAAGTAACTCTTTAACGGCAAAGTCTTTTGCAAAATTTTCCTCTTTCACGTCAAAAGCCATTTCCAAATCATCCCATGCCTCATCGTATCGACGAACAATATCTCTTAAAATAATACTTCTTTCACATAACGCGGTAAAATTTGTTGGATCTGCTTCCAACACTTTATTTAAATCTTCAAGCGCTTTTTGATATTGTTCCATAGATCTATAAAGCACTGCTCGACGTTCGTATGCTTTTATTCGACACCATGTATTTAGTTCATTCGTTTGCTTGCACTTTATTGCATTACTCAAGTCTAACATTGCTTCCTTATTTTTTCCCAAGGCTCGATACACTTCCCCACGCATCATAAGTACAAAACACATGTTACCACAATTTGGTGCCGAATGTGCTTTATTAAGATCTTCTAACGCCTCTTCATAACGTTCAATCGCATGATACACTTCGGAACGGATGCAAAGTGCAAAGAAATTTGTTGGATTTATGCTTAAAGCATTGTCTAAATCAACTAGTGCTTCTTCATATCTTAAAAGTTTGAAGAGAAGATGTGCTCTATTCTCTAAAGCTTCAACATTTTTCTGTGAAATTTTTAATACTTGATTCCAATCAGTAAGAGATTCCTGCCACTTTGTTGAGATTTGGAGAGTTTTTGCCCGATGGCTTAAAATTAAAATGTCATTTTCTGGTCTAAATTGGACCGCTAAGTTATAATCTTGTAAAGCGGATTGATACTGTCCTAGTTTCACATATAAAGAAGCTCTAAGGTCTAATGCTTTCGCATTATGACCATCGACCTCCAATGCTTGTTTTAGATCCTGAAGCGCCTCATTTGTATGTTCCATCGCAATATAGGTTTCTGCTCGATCACAATAAACATTGACATTATGTGGTTTAAGTGAAAGCGATTTTCCAAAATCTGCGAGAGCTTTCCCATACTCTTTAAGCATTGTCAGAGCTCTTCCACGATGCCTGTGGGTAGATGCGTGCCCTTCAGGTTTTCCATTCCATAATGATTTTAATGACGCGTCAAAGTCATCTCTTGCGGCTTTATAATTATTTAACAAAAGAAAAATTTTTCCACGATTTCTAAGTAAACGCGGGTTATTCGGCTCAATATCAATCGCCTCATTCAAATCAGTCAGCGCAGCATCATAATTCAGAAGCATACGATAAACTTTAGCGCGATTCAGCAGAGCATTAACATTTCTGGGTTGATTGTTTACAACAAAATCTAAATCAATCAATGCATTTGTATATTGCTTCATATTACGTAACACTTCACCACGGTTTACACGTGATGTAATATCAAATGGATTATCGTTTAATATTTTATTCAAACCACCTAACGCGTCATCGTACTTTTTCAATATCGCGTAAACTTGATTACGTAGAGATTCTGCACTTTTATCAAGTGGATCGATCATCAATGCTTGATCTAAATCAGATAGAGCTTCAGTAGGCTGTAATAAAGTATGATAGATTTCGGCTCTTTTCCTATAAGTCGAAGCTTTTCTATCAAATTTAATCGCCTCAGTGTAATCCGAGAGTGCTTCTTGGTAACGTGACAAACATCTATAAGCTCTTGCACGATTTCGAAAAATTCTTGCAACATCTGAATACTTTAACTTTAAAAGTTCGTTAAAATCCCTTAATGCTTCTTCATACCGAGCTTGAGCTTGATAGACTTTTCCCCGGTTTAAGAGAAGCTGAAAATCTATTCGTTTGGATACTTTCATTGCTTTTGTATAATCCTCTAGCGCCGCGTCATACCTTCCGAGTTTTTTAAACAAGGAACCCCTTAAATTTAGAACATCTGGATTGCCCGGTTCAATTTTTAAAAAAGCATTAAAGTCATCAAGAGCGTCTAAATATCTTTGAAGTTTAATGTTTATTTGGCCACGCGTTCGTAAGGTCGTCGAATCATATGGTGAAGATTTCAACACCCTATTAAAACAATCTAAAGCATCATAATAATTTTCTTCTAACACCATTATTTCACCGTAAATTCTAGTCGCGCTAAGCAAAAGTTGATCTGATATGTTTTCATCTGTTTTGAATGATGAAAACCCTTTATTTAAATCATTCTTCGCAGATTCATAGTCTTTTTTATAGTAAAACGTTTCACCTCGAAGTAATAAGGCACGTGATTTTACTGAATTTTTTTTAATGGCGTAATCAAAATCATGTAATGCTTCTGTTAAATTACCAAGTTTTCTCGATGCAAAACCCCTATCACATCGAAGTGAATAGCTATTGGGATAGGATTTAATTAATCGTGTTAAGCAATCCTTTGCTTCTTGGTAATGACCAGACTCCAAAGCTTTGGATGCTTTGTAAAGATTGGGATTTAGGATTTTAGGAGGCTTAATAACGCCCGATAATCTTGAACGAGATTTTGTGATAGGATCCATAGGGGTATCGTATGACACCACAGGAACTATTTTGCCAAAATTACTGTCAACGCTGGTGGGGCCTGATGAATGCATTGTATTTATTAGGATTGTAAATACAGTATTCTGATTTCAAATATATCATATGGAAGGTTTATTATAGAGATATATATGGTATGTACCGATATTATTTTTTTAGATACGTACGTACGTACGTACCTGTGTCGTGTCCGCCTTTCCTTGGACTAAACACTCGTTAACTATGATTAACGTAAATTAAAGATGTTTTTGGGCGTTACTAATCCTTCATGTGAATAATGACAGAAAAGGTGACGTGGCAAAAAAACAAAAAAGAAAAACCAATACTTTCAACTCAAAAATGTACCGAGTATTTATTTAGTTATTTTAGCACAAATAAAGCCTGTCCTACTTGTTCGTCTTTCTTAACTGGAATCAAATGCACTTATGAATTTACCTTATTTATCTGCATGTACAAGATATCATTCCTGTAAGCTTTGACAAAGCATCTTTTCATCCGAAATATAAACAAATAAAAATATCGGTATATGTTTCACTAGACGTCAGTTAGCCGAATTATCGACATGCAGCTTCAGCATATGGTGTTAAATATCTCTTTAAAACTTGTAACCGCAATTAAGGTGTGTTCTTAGATGCATGAGGTTATTCTGTGTAAGGAACCACACATAATTTCAGATGTACGATTTGTTTACAAATGCAATTAAACCATAACAATATTAATTTAATCATGTAAAATTATAAGGGGACTTTTTTATTCAGGAGAAAAGTGAATTAATCTTTGTAATCTTTGTACGTACTGTACGTAATTAGTATCACTCAGACCCCTAACTAAAATAATTTTAGATTTATACATTCACTTCTCAGAAGAGAGAATTCATTATCATACTCCTCGATTTGATGCGATATCTATATGGATTATCAAACATGGGAGATAATACTGGAAGTCGATAGGTTATTTAAAATTGATGTTCAGTAAATCTTTTTGAAATGGTCATATGCTTTCCATATTTAGATATATAATGTATAATAAATAGAATAAGTTTGCTGAATATTACGTGATGCCATACCCACGCGTCGTATCTGTCCTCTAAACATTTTAACCCTTGACAACCATTACATAATGCATAGCATTCACCATCGATATAATAAAATTTTCTAAATTTTCTTTGGTGAAGTAAAAGGTGCTGTCTTAGGGATACTACAGTATAATTAGTGTTGTAAAATAGTTCAATTTCTGAGCAAAACAATTGGTTAAACACGGGTATAACTGAGATATTTCCTACAAATTTTTGGAATAAAACTTACTGAGATTATTGTTTAGATCCAAATTAAATAAAATATATATTTAGGTGCTCTCAAGCACTTAAATTAATAATTGTCGCGGATCATGGTGAAATTTGGATCATCGTGAAATCTAAAAACCTCATTGGCTGATCACCCTAACCCTAACCAATCACGTGTGTTAATTACATATTAATTTCACGATGATCCAAATTTCACCATGATCCGTGACAATAATTAATGGAAAATATTTTTTCCGATCAAGTGCACGATTTCGATCAATAGCCAATTACATTGAGGAAGATGTTTGAGAACACTTTTAAAGTTGATTAAACCGATTTGAAAAATCTTTATTTGGGACTTTCTCAAGCAGTTTCCTCGATATAATTTGAATGTGATCAAGATATCGTGATTAATTGACGTGTTCCTTGTGATAATATGATGAAAATTCGTTGTGTGAAATTCTCATTTTAAAAATTACTTTAACTATATAAATAATATAAAATTAAATATAATTAACAGCCAATCATATGAAAGTCGTTCTATGAGTCTGCATCTCCATATATTGGGGTTTCAAAATTAAAATCAGAAAATTTTGTTACAAATCATGGTGAAAAATGAATTCAATGCCTAAAATTGGGTTGCGGAGTCTTACTATGAAACAAAAATACAATATAAAATAAAGAGTAAATAAAGCAAACATGTTAAAAATTATATAACAAATATAAGAGATTTGCTATTTATCGCCTGCGGCGATGATCGCAGGATCAGGTGTAACATAAAGAATAGAAAAACAAGGGAATTGCTACCGACACAACAAAACACGTGCTTATCGACACAGCAAGTGACCAGCACTAACCTTAACGACACAGCATGGCCGGTACTATATTTAAGGTTAGTGTTAGAATGTAGCAGAATTAGGAATTATGTCACGTGTTTGCTGTGCCGGTAGCAATTCCCAAAAACAATAAAAAAAACAAAAAAACGTTCGTAGTTCAATAATTCACTTATCAGACAGTTTTTTGCGTCCTAACAAAAAAAATTCCAGAAGTTTTGGTATAGGCTAGTGTTTCGAGTTGGTAAATATTTTACCAATCGATTAGTTGTTGCAACTAATCGATTGTTTACATCACGTGGTATCATCAGATGATTAGCCAATCAAACCAAAGGAATTAATATGAATTTCTCGGAATTATACTAGTTGAATAATTAATCGATTAGTTGTTTAAAATTTTTTCAAATCAACTAGTTGAAAAGTTGGCAACTAGATAAGAGTAGTAACAGATATTACATAATATTTTAGGGGGAGAGGGTCAGCCAAAAGTCTTATATTACACTTATATATTATATATAATATATATTATACATAAATAGTATATAATTATTATCAACTCTGACAACAGACTCTTTTCACTAATCATCAAAACACAAAATCCCAAAAACAAAAATTAATAAAAAAATTACAAAAACACATAAGAGTCACTAAAAAACTAATCTCAAAGCTTTAAGTAAAGAAGAAGAAGACAACAAGAAACATTTAATCTTTTAAGAGACTTGAGTAAAAAAAGCAGAAGTGGCAAAAAAATAGAAGAAGTCATGAAAAATTATTAATATTTTTTTGCACTTTGTGAACTTTGGAGGAATCAGCTTTGACTCTGAATCACAGATTTGTTTTAGTAACAAGAATTACAACACATAATGAAAAATAAACAAAAAAAATATAACAAAAATCACGTGATGAAGTTAAACAAAATTGGTAAACAACTGCAACAAACAACAACAACAAACAACAGTAGTCAGAAAACAACAAGTCACATGAAGTAAAAAACAACAAAATAATCTAAAAAAAACCTTCACAGCAGAAGTAGCAAAGATAAAATTAAAAAAACTATAGGAAGATATAGAAATATACAGATAAGATTATATTAACTCTGATACCAGAAAATATGAAAGGGGTAATAACAGATATCCAGGGTATAACAATAGCAATAACTGATGAAATAATAAACACACACGTAGAAGAAATAATGGCAGAATATGTTAGACAAGAACTTATTCTGAAGAAAATAGTTGAAAAGCGAATAATAGAGCTCTATAAAGAATTATGGTATTATAATATAAGAGAACTAAAGTACACAGAATTTGTATTTATAGAAAGAGAACATGAGGTTTTTCACAAAGCAATACAAAAAAAGAAAGACCCAGTTAATTGTATTATAATAGAAGAAATAGTTGGTTATATAGTAGAATTAAGAATAGCTGATAGGATTTGAAGACTATTAGAAGAAAAGAAAAAACAACATGCTAAATTAAAGTCAAAACTAAAAGCAGGTTAGAGCAGAAGACTTCAAGAACAAAAAAAAAGCTAACAAAAACAGCATAACAAAACAGCTTTAAAATTTACAGTATATTGATTCAAAGAATCCATCAAGATTATCACAACAAATTAACAAAAAACAAGAAGAAAAGTAAAAGTAAAAAAGAAAAAAATGCAAGTTTAACAAAAAAAAAACAAGCTGCTGAAATAAAATCAAAGTTGGATTTAAATTAGAGCAAAAGACTTCAAAAACAAAAAAAAATCTGACAAAGGCAGTAAAATGAATCAATATTAAGAACTTTAGTAATACAATTTAAAGTTTTTGTTAAATTTACCTTAGCATACCAGAAAAAAAAAAGAAAAATCAAAGAAAAAAAGCAAAGTAAAAACAAGAGATATTCCAGGTCTTATAGAAGCAAAGACACTAAACAAGATTCAAGAGGAATCAAGACCAAAAATTGTATTAATAACTTCAGAAAAATGGTTACAGAAGTAATATACCAAATAAGCATTAAAGATTCACAATATAATAATAAAATGTAAAAAAAAGAAGAAAAAAGATTTACTTGCAAAATAGATATATAAGCTAAAGTCTTAATAGAACTTGAATATGAATTCGCCTCAAAGCACATTAGTACCTAGGCCGAAGAGTGTCAAAAATTAGAAAAAAAAAAAAAAGATATGTTATTAGAGATATTAGAAAAGATTTTTGTAGGGTATCTCAGAAATCAGGAGATTTTTAACAAAATACAAAAAAAATTTCTGGAAAAAAGACCAAGTTCTAGGAAGAAAAAAAAAACAAGAAAGACCAAGAAAAGGAAAGAGAAAGACTTCTATACCCAGAACACAAAAGAAAAAAAACTCAAGCAGATTGATCAAGATCTAAAAATGAAGAAACCAAAAGAGGACTCAAAATACTCTGAAAAAAAAAAATGTACAGAAGAATATTTCTAGAAAAAACTCATAGAACAAGCCCTTAAGAAAAAGAAAGAAGATACAAAGCTATAAAACAAGAAAGAAAAATTATAATAAAGGATATGAGAAGACTTCCAAAAGCCAGATTTCTAATTTAAAAGGACAGGTTAAATTGGAAGAAAAGAAAAAGAAAATATAAATACAAATGAAAGAATCTTGGCAATAACTTTATATTGAAAAGGAAGTTATTTTATTTATTATTAAAAAATTAAATTTAGAACTTTGTTTTAAAAAGAAGGATAGTCTAGAAAGAGAAAATTGCTAATGTAATTTAGTTAAAAATTCTTTCATTTTGAAACCGTCTTGTGATGATTTTTTAGGCTAGCTTGGTATAGCTTTCCTGTATAGGTAATAGCCTTAACTAGTTAGGCAAATCACATTTAAATATCTATAGAAGAAGTCAAGTAATGTCAAATCTGTAACTTAGATAGTTTGAGTATACCTTGTGTATATGCTTTAATCTAATAAAAATACTAACAAGGCT